ACCTGGTAGTAACGCATATGAAAACTTGCACACTTCATAACTAGAGTGCGCTACCAGCCAGGAAGAATAATGAAAATTCATTTTATACACTCTTTGAATTTGGTTATATAACTTTTATACTAAGGGTTACATAATAAAATAAGTTTTTTAGTAAACTTTTAACTAAAAAACTTTACATCCATTACATAAACAATGAATATTCTTTAGCTTGTGGTTATTTACGGTTTATACTTTTAAAAACAAATTTTTTATATAACTCTGCTACTAGGGTCCTTCCTTCTCTCCGTCGTTTCTTTCTTTCCTTCTTCCCTTCCTTCCTTTTGATTGCCATGTAAACACACAGGGGTGTAAATGACCTTAGTTGCTAAAGCACCGCTTTAAAATAAATTTATATTACTATGACTACTACCTTCCTTCCATTCATCCTTCCTTTCTTTCTTCCTTTCTTTTTTTCTTTTTCGTCTTGAATAATATGAGCATCCTTGCTTCTTCTTTCCTTACTTCCTTCCTTGCTTCCTTCCTTCTTTGCTTCCTTGCTTCCTTCCTTCTTTGCTTCCTTCCTTGCTTCCTTCCTTCCTTCTTTGCTTCCTTCCTTGCTTGCTTCCTTGCTTGCTTGCTTCTTTGCTTCCTTTCCTCCTTGCTTGCTTCCTTTCCTCCTTGCTTGCTTCCTTTCTTCTCTCCGTCGTTTCTATTTTTCCTTCTTTCCTTCCTTCCATTCATCCTAATTTTCTTTCTTCCTTTCTATTTCACTTTTTTCAGGCCAGGGGGGAGGAGGTGCCCCCTTGGATCCGCGCACCTCTACTCGGAACATATTTCCGTCTCACCAAAGATGGATTCCTGTAGAATCGGCAACGAGTGCGGAGCGCGCCGCGACGCATCGGCCGAATAAGAGCGTCTCGGCGCGGCGCGGTGCGGTGCGGCGGCGGTGACGTAATGGGCGCCCCCGGCGGCGCCGCGGCCCAGGCGGGCGTCGGTGACCAAACTCATATTTCTCCTCGCCCGGAGAAGAAAGTTGTCCGAGAATTCGTCGCCCTCCCGACATAAGAACTTATCTCCACACCAAGATGAACCCTGTCGTCCGTATAACTCAATGCTTACCCGGGCTCATCCCGAAGTGTAGTCAAGCTCTTTTTCCGGCCGAGCGACGATTCCGATTCCTCTCGCGCCGCATGAGCGTATGACCTTCTCCGCGCGGGCCCCGTCAACCTGGGTTGACCCACGGCGAGTTGATGAAGGTGACCCGCGCACGGGGCGATTCTGGATTAAATGGACGTATTACTATCAAACGGAACTATGTGCATTAAGACATGAGCCCTAAGACTCATAAGAATACATGCGTAACGGGTCTCACGTCATAATGCACATGGTTCCGTTTGATAGAAATTCGTCCAAATGTAACCGTCCACAGGAAGTGGGACCTCGGTGGGCAGATTATTGAAATTATTACACAAAGCGGTAGACATGAAAGACAAAAGAAAAATGGTGCGATCCTGCTGGTGGCAAGTTGGTGGTTGCACACTGAAAAAAAAATCTCGGTGTATTTACTAAGAAAAGGGTAAAATTACCAAGAATTCAGGGTTCTATTTGATGCCAGTTTTTTCTTAGTAAAATTACCATTTATGGAATTGGTAATTTTACTGAGAAATCTCGGTAAAATTATTGAACTTACTCGGTAATTTTACTGGACCTTGGTAAAAACGCCAATATTTGGTATTGACTGTGGTAGAATTACCGAGATAAAATGGCAAAGTTACCGAGAATTTATTACCAATAAAAGTGGTATTCTTACCTGAAAAAAACAGCATAACACCGGTTTTTAGGTGAGCTTACCGGTCTGTCTTGGTAAAATTACCAATAATTGGTAAAAAAATTGAAATGGTAAAGGTACCAACGGACCTTGATAAAAACGCCGAGAATTTTTTTTCAGTGAATGGGACCTCGGTGGGCAGATTATTGAAATTATTACACAAAGCGGTAGACATGAAAGACAAAAGAAAAATGGTGGGATCTTGCTGGTGGCAAGTTGGTGGTTGCGTTGAGCAAAGGAGGTTAGTAATAGACTAACTAACGGCAGCTGACAAGAGACTCAACAGTCAGTGCATCATTTTCCCCCTTAGTCCATGACCATCTGTTTCAAGCCATAGAATCGCTCCTGTAGGCTGATTTTTGACATTG